GTGAGAAAAATGAGGAAAAGGACAAACTTAGTGATTAAGGATAATACTTTTATCCAAAAATAAAGATAGGAGCTCTACATGGAGAAAAACTAATCTGAGATGCACTATGGAAAAATTGTTAGCTCAACCAAATCCTCTTTTTTGTGATGGGATCACTGACGTGATCCTTTTTATTGTCTCTTTGAGCACTGACATGTTGTACCCATCTTTAATTGTACACCGACAATGACAGCGATGATAACCTATTGGGTTAACAAGGTTCCTGTAGCACGCAAGCCTATTAATTAATGGTCGGTCGTTTATTTTGTTGATCCGATGATGATCGTTTCCCTACACCATTAATAATGGATACTTTTGCCAATCAATCTGATTTACTACTGAAGAGCCTCCTATCAAAAAGATCAAAGGAAATGTACATTTCAGCCTTTTTAAAGTGGCTTCAAAGATCCTACCAGAAGTACACTACATAACTGGTGAGATTAGAGAATAATATAATGATAATAAACTGTATTTCCTAATACCCACCTATCAAGCATGTAATGTAATGTGACAAATCGAATTTCAAATCTAGCTTAAATTGAGACGAAAAGGTAATAACATCATTCACTTTTTTCGGTTTGATTGATGAAATGACCTTTATATTGAATGAGTGCCGGAGCAATATGTGGAAATACAGAGAATCCGATGGAACAATTAGAGGGATACGGCTCATCGTCGACACCGTAGCATGGTCCGGCGAGAAGGGATCACTTCGGTTCTTGGCTGATCCTATTTAGCAAACGTATATGAGATGCTGGTACAGTGATAAAAGAGTAGGGATTGAAATGGACGCAGCTATGATAGCCACTAATTGTGTTCGAGATATCCTTAAGTTATATATTTATATGCTAAAGAATTTGAAATTGCTTATATCTGTAAAAATAAATGGTCTTCGGATTTGTATTTCTTTTCTGTAATCTTCCAAGACGAACTTGGGATTAGAGACTGAATAGTAATATAATATAGCTTTTTCTATTTGGAACAGAAAAAAAATAATAATAATAATAGTTATTTGTTGCCGACAATGATACAAATACTCGATCAATAAAATTAGAATTTGATATTGCACACGAGTATTTGGATGATATCATTGATTCTCAACCACAGCTACTGAGAATAATTTACCTGTTTTTTATTTAACATCTAAAAAAAGAACATTGACGACCCTTTAGCGTTCCTGAATGTCATACCATAAGTAAATGAACATGTGAAATAACACAGAAAGAATTTGACGATTGAGAATACTTCAAAAGAAAATGATACAAACAAAGTCTGTCACTTTTTTCTCGTTTAAGAGATCCAACAAGAGACCAGTTTCCTTTAGGGTTCTCAACGGACCCTTCTCACCAGTTACAGAGGAAGTGTGGCAATGACTACTGATTTACATTCCTCCTATGAAACACGTATCAAACAAAGTTTCATCTATGGGGTAACATATGGCTGAAGCCTACAAATAACATAGTATATCACTCAACTGTAAGGAACAATTTCACTTCTTGTTCCTGAATGCTCCAGGTCATCGGACTCGGATGTTGACTGGGTTCCATTGGGTTTCAGCCTTACAGCACCCTGGGCTCTGTGGTGCTTTTGTGTTGGAGCCACCAGCAAAAGACGGGACATGACATAGGCCAAAAGCTCCTCTCTGTGTGAGAATGTGAAGTCCAAATGAGCATATTCAAACTCTTTGTAAGAAACCTGAACATCTGCTTTCTTCATCAACCTGTAGTGCTTTCTCACCATTAATGGTCGAATAACCTTGTCTTTTCGCCCTGCTACCAAATCGACAGGAATGTCAATAAGTTCATAATTTTTTCCCAAGTCCAAAGGCTCTGGCATTCCGTATGCCTCTATATTTGCAGCTGCACTTCCATAATCATACATTATAAACTTTCTTGCTCGCTTCATCTGTGCAAGGTGAAGGGCCACGTGAAGTGATACCCCAGGCATGTCATACATGTTGTAATGAGGCAATCCAAGCACTCCAATCCAATTTGAGCTGTCACCACCCACCACGTAGCTCATAAGAGTCTGCACAAGACCTCCCAAAGCAGGGTAGTTCTGAAAATCTCTAGCTAACTTGTTAATGAGCATCCGGAAGAACCTAGTAGGTATATACAGTCCAGGGACGATGGAAGCAAGCACAGGACCGAGAAGTAGCAGAAGTTTCTCCAGTAATGTAAACACTATTGTAGAGTCATCATGAAAACCCGCAGGAGACAACAAGATCAACCTTGATAATCTGTGAGGTTTCAACTCAATTCTAGATGTTATGACATACATCAGCATAACTGCTCCTCCTAGGCTGTGGGAGACTGCACACAGTTTGTAGGGCTGATCATGTACTTCTCCATCCAAATCAGGTCTAGAAAGTTTATTTAATTCAGAAGTTTTTATCTCATGTATCTTCTCTATCATTGCTGGTATGTCCTTTGTCGCATGCTCATTGATAGAATATCTCCAGTACCTGCATCATTTAGGATCAGCATATATGTTCTGACAAGTGACAAACATGACACTAAAACCTCCTGATCACTGTTCGGCAGATAGGGATGTCAAATCACATTGTAGTTAAGCTCTGCAATGCCCTCTCTTAACCTCTTCATGCTTCTAATACCAGATAAAGTTATACACATCCCTTCAGAATACACATGCCAGGTTCTGTTGTCTGCTCAAGCATATGAAAAACTACAATAGCACCCATTTCTTTAACTTTATTAATAAATAGAATACTTAGACAATTAAAGAATTTTTTTGTGCTCGAAAACATCGAAGGTGGGTGTTTTTGTAGAACAAAGCTGTCAATGATTTCGATGGAAAACTAAATATCCCATATATCCATATTCTATAAGCCTAATCCACTTAACAGAGAGCATGTTTTTCCATACAACTTGTCTAAACTCCGGCTTATTAGTAAAAAATCCTACTAAAAAAATCCAAGAAAACCAACAATAAACAGGAAGAAATCAAGTGGGAAAACTTTTAGAACCTAATATGTATTGGGTTTTCCCTAACGGCTTGGCTTTTGGAAAGTTTTTATCATGGTATCAAAGAAAGTTGTGAGTTTGATCATGTTCCTGCCCCTCTTTACTCGTCTCGTGTTTGACTAATACTTGTGCAATGCCCTTTTTCCTAAATTGGCCAGAGCCATGTGCTTAAGTTTGGTTTATGCATCAAGTCTAATCCGGCTTGTACATGAGAGGGGCATTAGAACCTAATAAATATTTGATCCTTTTTTTTTGAGGTGTTTGGTCACCCAATCAAAATCTTCATAAAAAACAACAAACTATAAGGCTCTTTGCAACCCTAAAACAATCATCGAACTACGAGATCCAGACAGCAGCACTCTGGATGATCAACAATTAAGACAAATGCCTAGTTAAGTGCTAATGCAATAAAAAGCAAGGAATTTATGATAAAACAACAACTTACTTGCGTGAGGAAATGTTCACGTCCACATGCTCCCTTGAAACTAACCCACGTAAGTTTCCAAGAAAAACATCATAACCTGAAAATTAAACATGCAAAATTGGATGGTCTAATAAATTTCCAATGTTTTGTTAATTTACTTGAAGAAAAAATAAGCAAACCTTGATCAAAAGCTGCAAAAGCAGGAGAACCAACAACCCCATTGGAGATCCAACTAGCAAATGCAAAACAGAAGTATTAGATGGCAGCTAATGCTTGTCAAAGAAATAGAATAGTGATGTAACAGATTGAAACATGAAGAGAATATCCCTAAAATACAAATCTAATCAATCAAACTTGATCAACCAATATGGATCTGAGTTGATTTCCCTAGATATCACTCAGATTCAATTAAGATAGATTTGACTAAATATAATTGTCTTATTTTTCTTTCTTGTATTAAGTCTTAAAACAGTAAGAAGTCTTTAAACCTTTAATTCGTAAATGCAGATAGTCTAAACTACAAGAACACCTAAGCAATCTAAGATCCTCTTAATATATTCTCCAAATTTGAGAAAAATCCAAGATGATCCAATGCCCTGAACCATTTAGATACATAATGAAGCCATCCAAGAAAAATCCAAGATGATCATGGCAATTGACAAATTAACCAAATGTAATAACTGAAAATTTTATGTACATAAAAGAATTTCACATGCAACTATAGAGCAATTATTGGAATCTTCATTAGATAGTTTGAAACATAGTTTAGGTTCTCGGCATCAAATTCCAACACACTGATCATAGTTTAAAGCCAGACCTAATCCTATATCTTTAATTTGCTGTACTCCATGTAATTTTACATGGAAGACTTTATATGCTATATAAGTGGAATTGTGTATAATGATTCCTACTTCAAGGGGAATAGAGTCAAACAAACATAACACCATGAAATTGAATCTTCTACAAAATTTCAAACAAACACAAATTCAATTACTCAACATAAGTTCAAAAGATGAGAAATCAGATGATTTGTAACCTAAAGATGAGAACAGCAAGATGCAAATGGAATTTTTCCAGTATTAATATAGTTACTAAGGAACTTGCAGCTGTTAATGTTTTCAATGTTTGAAAAAAAAAACCTGAAACTTCTTTTCAGACAAAAAAAAATGTGTTCAGTATAAACTGATCAGATTTTGCAAATGATTCAAGGAGCAATTTTCACAATGTATGATAGTTATGTGAAAGTAACTTAATGTTGGAGAAGCAGTACTATGACCTACACTGTTCATCCAAAACTTTGTTTAACAAATAAAATGGCAAACAACAAAAGAGAATATCACTCCACATATAAAATTAATATAACTAGTGAACAATATAATTTTATCAAATGCAACTCACCCCATTGAGGAGTCCAATATTCCATGTTGCAAATAGACAACCTTTTCTGAATCACGCCTGTAGGGAAAAATTCAAGTAGAAAACAAACAAAAGTGAAGACATGAACAATTAAACTGGGAAGAACACTAGTGAACATCTTCTATGTCAACCTTGGAATTCTCTCCAAAAGCAGTACATATCCATCAGAGGTAACCACACGAATAGCCTCATAAGGATACCTGAAATTCAGAAATACAAATAAACATTAATAGACAAATGGCATAATAAAAAAATTAGATTTATGTTGTTTACCATTGTCAAGATATAATTAAAAGATCAAACAGGTAAATCAACAAACATGAAAATTATCACAAGAACAGAAAACCACAAAGCTATTAGACATCAGCTTGCAACATTACTCAGTTAAGGATTCAGATAGGTCAAAATAGGAGCATATTAAGTAAAGTCACCAGACGAACCAAGTCTAATATGAGCTCGAGTTAGGCATGTAAGCCAACAGCTTAGAACACTGCCAGCCACTGGGAACCGTACTCTATACCAATTAAAAACCCAATGAGGATGATAACAACCTGAAACATACATACTATGTACAAATTTGAGTGAAAATTTTCAATTCTTTGGCTTAATTGTACATTAACTGCAAAAATTACTCTTCTTCCAAAAATTTTCCATGTCTAAGTAGAATTTTGAAGACTGTCACTTTATTTTGCCTAAAGCATACTTGTTTGGGAACTTAGAACTCATTTCAGATCACTAGACTAGATAAACAAATCCCTCTCAACCAAGTATTTTAATTTTGAATAATACCATCCATACCGGGAGGTACGTACCGGTCCGTCAGTAGACCGGTATGCAGACCACCTGCTACCGGTTGGTACCGTCGATTGGGGCTGTTTCCATCCCGTTACCATCCTAAATCAGTCAGTGACCGTCGATTTCAAGCAAACTGGAAAAATCTGATATTTAGGGAGCCAACTGATTGTGGCACAAAGTTCAAGAACTAGTATTGTAATTTATTTGTTGTCCTTCATAGCTCATCCAATTGCTTCAGAATCAGCAAAGCTTTCACATCTTGTGTAATCAAATATGATTGGAAAAACGCGGCAACTCTGATACCATGTTCAAATATTTTGTTGAGAATTGCTAGTTGGCTAATGTGACAGGTTACTTCTCCAAAAATCTTGATGAATATTGCTTGTTGAAATGCTAGCTGTCATCACATTTTGTTGCTACTATCCGATGAGATTCGAGTCCTTAGAATTCTTGAAGCATAGAACAGTAACCAATAACCTCCTAGGTAATTCCTACTTTATTGGATAGGATCAGCCAGCCTTCATTACAAATCTAGCTATGAGCCTATGATTAAAATCCTACTCTTGGAAGAGTAGAATAACATGACAAAACCATGCTACAGTTTTGTGAACATTAACATTTAGCGTTTTCAACAAACTGTAATACAAATGTAAAAATAACTTAAACCCAATTGAACTAGTCCTGACCTAATGCAAATTGATCCAAATCAAGCCCAAGAAGAAATAAAACAACAATTTGACAAACACAAATTGACTGATTGACAAAGACAAATTGGCTGATAACTGACCCAAAACATTTCAGTAGAGAGGATAATTAAACCTAATCATTCCTAAACTAAAAATTGACTTTGTTTAACCTAAAAATAACTTACTAAAATAAGGGAAAGACCAACAAAAGAGTCTCGGGACACATCAACCTAACTCTTAATGCCCCCTCTCCAAGCACATTGGTTGCTCTAAATGCTCACTAGCTCAATCTACTAAATCATAAAAACCAATCATAATTCCCCTCCACAGTAAAATAGATAACCAAATAAATAAAATAAAAAATCTTTGCCATCATAATTTATTTACCCACCAACATTCTAACCATCAACATACACATATTAGAGAGTTCATGTAAGTGTCTTATGCAATAGTCAGAAGCAGTGAAATAAGTAATGTTAGTGGTACGAGGAGAGGCAAAAGATCTAAAAAAACTTTAATAGAAACTATAAATAAAGATTTAAGTACTTTGAACTTAACTAAGCATATGGTTTTTAACATATTTCAATAGCTGCAAAAGATCCATGTAGGCGACCCCAAATAATTGGGACCTACGGCTTTGTTATTGTTTGTTGCTGTATGGAAATATCTTATGCAGCAAAGCAATCAACAAGAAGCTGCAAATGCCACTCGATTAAATTACGCCAAACATGAACAAACCTAGCCAAAATAAACTGAATTAGAACAGCAATTCTATAGTTTTTTTCATTTTAATTTTCCTTAGAGAGTCAAGTTAAGGCTTAAAGTCAGTCAATTACAATGACTGACTATAATCATGTCCTTGTAACTTGTAAGGTTAAGTTTTGGCTGGGTAGTCTGCTTTAGGTAATATTCTATTCCATAGGATGCAGTGATTTAAAAAGGTACTCGGGCGCTTGCCTAGGCGCTCGGGCGAGGCGAGGCGAGCCCCGAGGGCCTCGCTTCATTTCCAGGAGGCGCGCTTCAAACAGGCGCTGCCTGGGTGCTCGCCCGAGGCCAGGCGCCGAGCGCTTCGGGCGAGCACCTGGGTTAAACCAGGCGACCGAACCAGCGTTTGAGGTCTGGTTCGATCTCCGATGCTTTAGTTGGTTCAATCGAATCAACTAAAGCACCGATATCAGCGTGACTTCCCCAACCCTAACCCTGCTCACCGTTCACGCGACTGCCGCCGCTGCTACTGTCGTCGCTCGCCGCTCTCGCTGCCGCTGCTCGCTACTACCGCTGTCACTCCCACTGTCGTCGCTCGCCGCTCCCACTCCCACTCCTACTCTCGATGTCGCTGCTACCATTGCCACTGTCTCCACTCGTCGCTTCCACTCTCGCTCCCGTTGCTCGCTACTGCCGGTGCCACTGTCGCCGCTTGCCGCTCCCGCTGTCGCTGCTATTGCTCGCTGTTGCTGCTGCCACTATTGTCGCTCGCAGCCACCGCTCCCGCTCTTCTCAATCAACACCCTCAGTCTTCCGACTCTTCCCTTACACTCTTCTCCTCTTTCGATAGTATACTGTTAACTGTATACTAGTAATAGTATTTGTATTTTTTAGATTAATTTAATAGTATATTTTAATTTAAAATTTTAAATAATTATATTTATTAATTATATTATATATTTTTATATTTTAGCGCCTCACTTCGCTCGGGCGAGCGCCTGGGCGAGCGCCTAGCGCCTCGGACGATTTTGAACCTTGGCATCTTTTGACGCCTAGTAATGAGTCAACTAAGTAGCTGTAAACTCTTTTTTGGTCTCTGCTACCCTACTTTCATAACTATAAAAGTTATCTGTAACAAGGAATATGTAGCATACCTCTGCAGAATTGCAATTAACTAGGAAACTTGTCAGACAGAAAGCAAATTATTATAGCTACAATAATAAACATTCTGATCTCCTACTGCTTTTTTTGACCTGCTAGTATATTTCTTTTTTGGAAAAAAAAAATGTACTACTAGAAGTCTGCAAAATGCAAACTTTTATTCTAATTCAATTAAAGCATCTCCTATGCCAATGATAACTAACAAGTTGAAGAGAGTACTTGGAATCTTAGAAAGCCAGAATTCTTGGACTCAGATATCAAAGGCATAATCAACTATGTCACAATAGGTACTTGCTAATAGAGATATAGAATTCCCAACAAGCTAGTACCTGAGAACCAGACTAAGGGAAAATAAACACTAATATCACTTGAATTTAATAGATATTCAGCATAAAATTACATGAAGTATGCTATTTACTAATGATATTATTTAGCTTTATGAAAGCTTAGTTATAATTAATTTTATATTTAAGCAATGGAGACCAGGAGTTATTAACTAATTAGCTGATGCATCCTAATCTAGGGGTCAAGATTGTTAAGTCCAGATTAGTTTAATTTTTGGATTTTTAGACCATTTTTATATTGATGAGATGTTGAGGAATTTTTGTAGGATAAATTTTGTCATAATTTCTTAAAAGATGATATGTTCTTATCTTTATGAACTAAGAGAATAAACATAAATATCTTCTTTTATCTGATCATAGTAGTTAAATTCTCAGATTAGAGAAGAAAATCTTAGATGGTTATATGTAGGAGGACATGAACTTCTATTAATGAAAACATTGATTTTTCCTCAGGGTTATTTGGCCTCATTTATCCCGTTCTCAATCTTGAGTAGTTCATCTTCATATAAACTTCTGTCTTCCAACCACGCATTACCTCTTTCTTGCTTCCACACCCTTTTCAAATATGCTGTGTTTATGCTTACATAGGTTTGGTACAGGAGCTATTGTGTTCACATCAGTTTGATACTGAAGCTACCATGCACACATCACTTTGATAAAGAAGCTACCATGCTCACATCAGCTGGTATTAGACACATTGTGTTTGCATTAGTTCGGATAAGTTGTATCATTCTTGCATCTGTTTGGTATTAGAGCGATCATGCTTGCATAAATTTGGTATCAAAACCTCCATGCATATATGATAAACTCTCTATCGCCATCGTCCTCTCAGTCCCTCATCATATATGTTCTGCTCATGCTTACATTCATTTAGTTTAAGAGCTATAATGCTTATAATGGTTTGGTATGCTTAGATTCTCTCCGAGGTAACCTTCTTGGTTATATCATCTGGCTTCTAACCTCCGTCTTTCTACCTGTCTTCTTTCTCCCTCATTGTTTTATTCCTCTTATGATAACAATTTTACCATGCTTTTAACAGTTTGGTACCAAAGGAGGGCACCACCATTTTGACCATGTTAGTCGGTCTTACAATATTAATTTGCATCAAATCAAGATACTATCTAGGTCATCCATCCAATCTGGAGAATATTCATCAATCATGAGTGTGAAGACACACAATGGAAGCGATTGATACATCTAATCTAGGAGTCAAGTTTGTTGAGACTAAATTAGATTTTTTTAATATTTTATGGATTTTTTAATTTTCTTGTACAAATTATAAATTGGAGAGGTTTTTTTAGGATAAATTTTATCTCATCATTTTGTTAAAGAATGATAACATAAGATCTTATTTTTGGAAAGTTAGATAAAATTTTCAAAATTTAACTAAGCAAGGATAAGATATAAAATCCTTATGTTATCTTAACTGTTAAAATGTTACCTTATAAATAAAGCCTCAGATGGCTACATGTACGAGGGCATGAATTTTATCAATAAATACATTGATTTTCTCTAAAGTCATTTAGCCTTGTTTATCCCTTTCTCAATCTTAAGCAGTTCATTCTACTTCTACACTCTCTTTCTACCACACTAGTTTACCTCCCTTGTCTTTTCACTCCTTTTACTTATACATTTTGTATGTGCTTAAATCAGTTTGGCACTAGGGTTACTATGCTTACATAAGTTTAGAATCAAGGATTTCACACATACATACGAAGCTAACCAACTGTGCTTGCACTAGTTTGGTATCAAAGTTTGTCTGTACACACCAAACTGACCAATGCCTGTCTCTCTCATTCTATCATTCTCTTTAGAATAATGGTTTTCCCATAATCGCATCAGTTCAGTATCAGAGCAGGGTGCCACCATGTCCAACCATCATGGTCAGCCTTGCAATATTAATTTGCATTGTACAATCAAACTACTATAGAAACCATTCATCTAGTGTGGAATTAACTTATCAATCATGAGAATGTGATGACATGCATTGGAAGCAACTGATGCATCCAATTCTGGGAGTGATGTTTGTTGAGTCAAGAACAGATTCATTTAGAATTTTCATGAACTTTTGGACTTCCATTGTATTATTTAGATGTTGGGTGGGTTTTTGTGGGACAAGTTCTATTTACCATTCTTTTAAAAAGATGATAACATAAAATCTTACCTTTGAGAAATCAAATAATTTATATTGGGAGAAGATGAGATATATTCCTTACCTAATCTTAGTAGTTAGCTTGTTAGTTTAAAAAATAGTCCTCAATCTCCAAGATAGAAACATGTCTGAGAAGAACATTAAGTTTTATATTTGAAAACACTCACTTTCCTGAAGGTCATTTAGCTTGTTTATTCCTTTCTCTTCTTTAATTTGTCTTCCTACCTCCCTCATCTTTCACTCTTTGAGGCCTGATAGTCATAGTTCCCTTTATCAACTTAATTCTTCCGGCTTCTAGCTGTAATCTTTCACCTCCCACATCTTTCACTCTCTACATTATATTCTCTATTATAGTTGTTTAATTAGAACTAAAACCTAATATAACAGGGACATTTTTATTTTTTAGTAATGCTATTAGAAGAACTAAGAGTATGGTTTAAAATCAAATGGATAAAAAATACTACAAAGTGCAAGTTTTGGATATCTTATTATTTAGCAAACAAAAGAAGAGATTGATCAATATATTATTCATAAATCTGGAACAAACTTGTTAAAATTGAGAAGGGCATCCAGCGTTTTTATGTGATTATTACACACTTCTTATATGGAAAATTCCATAAGCCAATTGCAAGGCCAGCCATACTATACAGGCCAAAATGTTGGATAGCTAGGAAACAACACTTACTGAAAACTTGTGTTGCTAAGAAGAGGAAATCAGAAGCGAATACCTCCCTTATCCTGCCACTCAAAAACCCCGTCCATCCATGCTCTGCCCTCAACCCAAGTTAATAATTATAGTATCATTCCTGGTCTACAAAAGCATGAATGGTATTAATTTTTTCTCACCTCATGCATATTTGCTAGTTATATTTGCAAGATAGAAGAGAAAGTTACTTATATGAAATTCTTGGAGGCAAAGCATGGACAAGGCGATGTAGGCTTTGTGGCAAGGATTAATGATGCTGTCCCAATCTCAATCCCAATTGGTTTGTTAAATTATATCCTATCACAACCCAGTGTCAAGCCTCCAAGGTCACTCCTGATCATATGTGTGGTATAAAATTTCCAATCCTAGTTGAGATGAATATATGGGAATTGGGATCACTAGAAATAAATGAACAAAAAATGGTTATATTCATAAACAGTTAGGTGTAACTCAATAGAAGATAAGTGAAGAATGTTTCAGATCGTATCAACGTCTTATGGACTTCTTTTACATTGACTAACAATATTGTCTTAAAGAAAATTAAAGGAAGATACATGAAGCCAACTACAAAAGTTGGGAATAGGATTAGAAGTCTCCAGTACTCCTGCCTTAGGATGGATCTTCCTATCCTAAATTTTGACATAGGCATCTTAGATGACCTTAAAAAATCTTTAAAAAGTATCAAGCCACACCCTGTCATGATCAAAATAGCAAATGTTGAATGCAGCACAAGATGAGTCAATATGGCCATGACTTCACAGAGTGGCCAACCTAAATGGGAGTTCAGCAGACCACATTAAACAGCCCTTAGATGGGGTACAAACACACTTAAAGGTGGCAACCATTAGGAAATGTGACCAGGTGTATGGGGCTTCGATTTGTCAACAATGGGAAGGTCAAGGATGATGTTGAGATAGACTAATAGTGGTTAGCAAGATCGAGGCAAATACTTATATGGACTCATTGAAAAGAGGACTCTCAAAGGAGTCTTATATATTTAGCAAAGGAAAAAAAATAACAAATGATCAAATAGAAAAATAAAGAAAAGCAAAAAAAAAAATTGACCATATGGTTAACATTGTTAATGTTACAATGTCATTAACTCTTTAGTTCAAGAATTACTAGGCATATTAAAAATTTAAAATAATATCATTGTTTTGACATAATTTATCTTCTAACCGTTAATCAAGTAATTCATTACAATCAATTGGTGCATTACAATTTTTCACTATAAACTTTTAATTTATTCACTCTTTCTTTCTATCATTTCCCTTCTCTTCATTCTTTTTCTCACATTGTTTTATTAAATGTATATCACTCTTTAAGTCATTACTGCTTTGTTAGTTCCTCATCTGGCCTGTTTTAAGAATTTATTTTTCACTTTATTGCCTATCATTTTATAATTTTTTTATTTTATAAAATTTATAACATTTTAGCCTATATCTTTACTTTTCTTTTTTTTATTTTGATTTTTTTATATTTATATATGAATCTCTAATCAAGCTAATCCCAATCAAAATATGGATTTTTTGGGTTGTGGAGCCTGACACGTTATTCTTTGATGAAGGACTCCAAAAGTCATACCTTGACAACTAAATTGTCGATTTTAACCAAGGTTTGCAATTTCAAATCGTACTGCTCGTACCGGTCCGCCCGTGAATTGGTACGCAGACCGCCCACTCGATATAGCCCCGTATCGGATGATACGAGACTATTTCAAGCAGTAACAATCAAAATTTCAACCGTTACCGCCTGATACCAGGCGGTATCAGCTTGGCCACGGCTTGGCTACGGTGAGGCTGAGGGAGAAGTGTCAAATAAGGAAGAAGAAGGAGAGGGCATTCAAAAAAGAGGGAGAAGAAGAGGGAGAATCGAGAAAACCTTGATGCAAACTTGTTTCCACACCCTTTCTCGATCCCGATCTGGCACCGTCGTCCCTCGACGATCCTAATCCAGGAGGTAACAGCGAGGAGAGTTGTAAAGAGGAGGATCTGGAGGCACGGGGATCAGGGGAGGTGGCGGCTAGAGCAGCAGAAGAGGCGATCTCCTTCATCGCCTCGTTTGCGACTCTATGACCTTCTTCTTCATCTGTGGCCTTCGACGTATTCGAAGGCTGGAGACGTCTGTGGCCTTCGACATCTTCGTCGCCTTCTTCGCCGAATACCGTAGACGAGGCAACAAGGAGAAGAGGAGGAGGCGACGTTGCCAAGACTGCATACGCCTTTTTTTATATTATTTTTATATTTTTAAATATTAATTTTTATTTTTTATAAAAAAAAATATTTTATATTTTTAAATATTAATTTTTATTTTTTATAAAAAAAATATTTTATATTTTTATATATTAATTATATATTTATATATTTTTAGGCATACCGTTCGGTTCGCCATACCGTACCATACCGAGTACACCGATACGGTACAAAGTTTCAATCCTTGATTTTGACATCCGACAAATATACCAAAACATGGGGGTATATGTATGTAAATAAAAATTGGGTAGTCTAGCACACGAGTCTCATGGATGTGGTATTTGGGAGAATCAATATATACAACCTTGCCCTCGCATGTAAAGAAGTTATGCATATGAGGCATAAAAAACTGGCAATAGTCTTCTCCAAATGATGGTTAGTCATATCAGCTGTGTTTTATTCTTCATGATTTTTTGTTAAAAATAAGAACCAAGAAAATATGAGAAAAAAATAAGCAGATGGTTCTTACCCAAGCTCAGTTATTACATCTTGACATGTCCGAGCATCAGTATTCAGAGAATAATGTAAAGTGTGCTGCCTTTCAGTTGGCGTTGGTTCATCATCGCCAAGTGTTTTAGTTGGAATCACCATATTCATGTCAACACCGTAGTTATCTTTTCTAGTACCTCCATTTGAATAGAACCATCCGAACAATCTTCTGTGAAGTTGCGAAGGGGAAAGAAGGAAGTGTGCAACATTATGGGCAGTCTCGAAAGCTGACTCGATGAATATCTCGATTGCCAGATGCAGATCCTAGATAAGAGCTTTGCTAAGTTATTCTTGTAAAGTTAACACGAGAAATTAGTGTATCAACATAAGTTTCAATATCTGAATTGTTTGTGCCACCTAGACTAAGAATTTCAGGTAACATGATCCTGGATAATACCTCAATTACGCCTCGTCTCCTATCAGTCGTGCGCTGAACAACATGATCCTTTGTATGAACTGACCTTCTTGTCTGGTGAGGGCTTGAAATATGGCGTACTCTTAAGTTGCCTGTGGGGACCGTCCCACCTCTTCTAAAACATGCCAACTGGAAGACAATATGTGGCAGCCTTAGAAGAAATACTGCAGGCCAAAGGATCCAGGAAAGCATGAATTTGATTGAGCGTATGAAATGTCGATCATATCTAGTGAAAGTGCTGCTATATGATAGCCGTGAAGCCTGCGACAAGGGAGAGGAAGGATATATGTTCTCTTCATTATCCTCTTCGCCTGCTATAGAATCAGCATCTGAGGAAGTTTCAGTATCCATGGAAAGCTCATGAACAAGCTTGTTGAATGAAGAAACACCACTGTCATCATGAGTAATAAAATGATAAAATTAGACCTATATATGTTAGAAATGCAGAGATAACAGCACCATTAATGTAAAAAGCAAACAAACAATTCTCAAATATCCATTTCTCAGAATAATTCTATGCTATTTGTATACACAAAGTTTAAAGATCACCATAACAGTAAGTATGCATACTAATGTCAACCTATGCTAAGGGAAGAGATAAAGTTGGACTTAGATGTCCCTGATTCTGAGGATAGAATGTATGCATTCCATTAGTATATTTATGTTTAACCTAAATTGAACACAACTAAAGTACAGCAAGATATATGAGATGCCCAATGCACAAGGTGTTTATCTCTATGCAGAAGTTGCCAAACATACTGTCATTTGGTCACACAGAAAGAAAAATAAAAGAGATATAAATAATCAGAAACCAAACATCAGCAAATCCAGTGACACTCTCCCTAATAAACTAAGATTTCCTTTATAAATACATTAGAATCCACAAAAGTAAACAGAAGACAATTAACCAAGTTACAATTAATTTCTCAGATTTTTAGCATTCTCCGAAGCAACTTATAAGAGGTGGAGGAGGAAGTGGCGACAGAGGAGGAAGAGGTTTGCAGCACGCAATGGGAGGCCGACAGCCATGGAGGGTTGCATGCATTGCAGGTCGTGAGAGGCACAGAAGAGGGGGCAGGTTGTAGCCTTCTAGCATCGAGAAATAAGCAAAAGGAAAACAGGTCCAATCCCAGTACCATATGTGGACCGCTCGAAATGGACAGTGTATGTGTCGGTTCACGATCGAACCAATAAACACTGCTTGATACATTGCATTCCATGAACCAGAGTCTAAAACTTCATTTTCTTTCCCAAGAACAACAAAGCCTTAGCTCATCCATTTCTTTTTTCCTACAACCATATAGTAGTCATTTTAACTTGAAAGAGTATCATTCACTTCAGATGCATAAAATGTGTAGCTAAAGTTTATAATGATCATTAACTAATATTCATAAAACAAATTAAGAGAATTAATGAACATATCTCCAATAATGAAATGAGACAAAACTTACTTTTCCATCCATCGAGGAAGACGAGGTCCACGTAAGGTGGGTCTGAGTTCCCAGCCATGAATCCCTTCCAAAATGGTTGTCTTCCCTGGCAGTATAGTCAACACAAGGGCTGAAACCCCATTTATCAACCTTGCAATATTGATTAAAGATTCATAAGTGAATGTCTTCACCGACCTGCAAGACATGGCACATAAAATATTCAAGTATACCAAAACATGAGATAAAGAGACCCCTACACAAATCAAATATCCATATATCTAAGACTAACTCAAAACTGTAAAAGCTTAGGCACTACAAACGTATATGATCCAAAGACTTGCAGTTAAAGGTTAATATTTTTTCTGTATAACAAAATAAATTCAAAAATATGGACCACATTTTATTAGACAATGGGTAAATATTTAGATCTTCAGTTCTCCACAATAAATGGCAAATATATACCTGTCTATGCCAACCCCTAGTAGCATGGGAACTTGTAGATAGTTTCTTGACACTGTAATCCCGTCGTATAGATTACCCCATCCTTGTGCTGATTAGCACAGACCAAAATTTGGCCTAGCCATATGTAAGCATCTAAAATACAAGTTGGCATAGTGCAATATGTTTCAAAACCATGCCACCCAGCATAACAATCCTAGGATTCAATTCTATAAACTATAGCACTGGTCACGAGAAAAAAGTTCAAGACATTAAATGGACATGGACAACAACCTTAAATAGTAAGTACAAATTTCCACACAAGTGTAGATTTATAGTAACACAAAAGTCAACAAGTCCAAGGAATGATGATTTTATTTCTTTAAGCCATTTCAGAAAAGACACCAACAATAAGAGAACATACTAACTTAGGTGTAAAATTGATGGCCCTGGAAGAACCTCTAGAAGACACTATTCCCAAAAAAAAATGAACTAATTGGTCCACAACAAATTATTATACAACAGTAGTCAACAAAAAATCTAACTTCTATTTTCAACATATCATTTTCAGCAATAAAAGAACAAACAAATGGAACAGAACACAATAATTAAATGTAACAAAAAATAATTTTAATTCTTTTTCCTCCATCCAAATCCATATATGTACATGTGAATGGAGCTATCATCATGATGCATATTTGTAGTTTGTCAGAGGGAATCTGCGTTCACTAGGATGAATCCTGGATCTACTAACATAGTCAATGTTGGTGGTGTTAAGTTGCACAACAAAAGCCTTGATCGATCTCAATCTGATTCTTATTTGAACTCCCTTTAAACAAAGCATAAAGACTTATTCCCTTAAAACAGCACAGAGGGAAAAACCTCAACGAAATCAACATTTATATAACCACTCCGATAAGTGCAAGATCAATATATAAAGGAATCCTTGGACCATATAAAGAGTTTTCAAACGAGCACAAAATATGCCACTGACCTAAACTCTGGAATTGAAATAGAATTATTCCCACAAGTCCACACACCATACCGTAGAATATGCTGCAATGCAAATCTTAAGAAGGCTAGTGGATTTCTGATGTTTGAAATGCAACAAGAATACAAATGAACATAATAACAGAAACAACATGAAAATGCTTTGAAGCCTGGCTCCTGGGTCTTGAATATCCCAATACTTCCCGAAACAATATTTTTGCTTCTTATCACTCCAGCCTTTATCTTAAGAGTCTCCATTTCTTCTCCTACATCAAATGTCCACGTCTATTCCATCCATATGACAACTGTAGGTAACAAACTACCTCTAGGTACCATGAGATACACTAATAAGATATCTCCCACGAGCACAAAAAATGTTGATTATCAATCATAAATCATCAATAAGCAAATCACCTGCAGGAGTCAAATCATAAGGCCAGCAAAGAGAGCCACTCTTTAACAATGGACAAATTACGCATCTTTCGCACAGGAAAGGTATTTCGTCAAATAGGTTACTATCGTTGATCCTCAAAACCCAAAAGTTAAACGGAATCATCATCGCAACCTCACCCATTAGAATCACAAAATTTCATTCAGTGAACAAAGCAATTACGTATGGTTGGGAAGAAACCTATTTCATTTCTAGCCAGGTACCATTAAACGAAATTTACAAAAACAAGAGCAAGCATGGCACGAAATAAACAAAAGAAGAGGAAGAGGGGAGCAAAAGCAGGAAAAGGGACGAACTCTTTTGTGACGGCGAGAAGGTTGTCCACGAATCGCTGCAACATAATCCTTCCAATTCGTTCAGAAATCAAAAACTAGCGACCGAATAAACCAATTTATCCATCCAGCAAAAGAAACAGTAAAAGGTGAGGCAACAATATATATACATATATATCGTGAGGAGAACAATTGGTACTCTGCACCAGAATTTATATTTCATTGAAGGCCACACTGCGTGCGTACCTATTTTGTATGAGGTATCGAGCATCCGCTGCACAATTTTGTCAAAGCCTAGCGTGAAGGACGCGTGGAGAAGACGATAGCAATTGCCTGCTGACCCTACGAGTAATCTTATGCGTTTAATTGTAGGATGTTTTGATGCCTTGCCTCGCGGGGCAACCAGTGACCGTCTAAGCCACGCCAGGGCTAGGTCGGTCGAGGGCTGCACCTTTGTCATCCACCCGCTAAAGAAACGCACATCGTGACTCGGTGAGACAATCAAGCAGAGTCGGCCCATACGGTTGCCTTATGAGATTGCTGGGGGCTCCCGTGGCTCTAATTATTGGGGGTAAATAGCGTAACTTGCCGGTTAAAGAAGGCCCGCCGGCTCTGCCACGCCGCAGTGCGATTAATCTGCGATTAGTTCCTGACGCCGATTAGTGACACAGATCCAGACCCTCCCAAGGTTCTGAATATATGATGGGCCCACCGTTCATGTCTAAACGGGTAAGTTTCTGAGTGCTTGCGCAGCCAAAAAAAATAAATAAATAAATATATATATATATATATATATATAGACGCGTCTAGTGGTCCATAATTTTTCCTTTTTTAGACTGTTTCCGTAACCAAGGAAACATTAATGTGACATTTACCGGAAAAAATGTCAACCACAGGTTCTCTCCTTTGTATTCCACCGTGTGACGAACAAAGCCCGTCGCGATATGACAGCCTGATGCGTCTTGGGATAGGTTTGGAATGTGATCGGACGCTTGCTAGTTTAGGATGCATCATTTTAGCCGGTCATGTGTGTTACTAATTTCCTTTTGAACTTTTCATGTTGGATCGATTTCCAGATTGAGTGATAGCATAATTGTATTTTATACATCTTGAGTTAGAAACTCTATAATGGGAATAAGCAATTTTTTTTTTTGTCAAAAAAACAAAAAACATTAGATTATTCTAAATGTCCAATATATCAAATTTCAATTCTCAACCTAATTCGACCTTCAAATCTTTTAATTTTATTTTTTCTAATAAAAATAGCTAATCAGCACGTTGAGTTATCTCTCTCTAAAGATAAGATGAGTTATATATTTTTTTAATATTATTTCGCATTATATGTTTAGAATATATTTTGTTAAAGGAATAATATTTGACCATCGCATCCTTGATTATATATTTTTTTTTTTATAGGTTGGGTCGATCTATCCCGAGAGGCATCTTAATATCTACTCTCGTCTCTTTAAAGGATATGATGAGATCTTATTTTAAAGGAGGATTTAGAGCTTAAAGAATAAAAATAAGATGAGAGTATACTCATTTTATTCTAGAGATAGAATCGGTACAATATAAATTCTATTTGGGAGTCACATTCAATACAACTTAGAAAGACGTTTATCTTCCTCACTCTTTCCTTTTCGTTAGATAGAAATTATCTCTGGTTTCACGACTACAAATAATAGTCTTTTGGCGGTATATTTTAACGGTGAGAATTACTCCAACGCAGTTTGAAGGTCTATCTGATACTGATCATCCTAATCACAGCATAATATCTTCCATCTCTCACTCTACATGTTAGCAAATCTTTACTTTATGGTTAAGGTCAACACGGCTCGGTCCGTCTCAGATTCACAGAATCATTGGTGCAGATGGTCGATTGGTAAAAATGTCCATCGGGTTGGGTTGAGTTTGAGACTCGTCTCGTAACGCGGTCCTTCCTATCAATGAGCGATCTGCTTCATCGTCACCAAGTTCTTACACATAGGTCAAAGTCGGGAGGGGGTTTTCCTGACTCGACCCCTCCGAAAGTCAAGTTAGTATTGAGTGGAGTTCAAGGAATTTCATCTTCCTCCCCCCTGATGTCGATAAGAGGGTTGGCTTTTATACCTACGAGTGAGGGTTCGTCGTAGCGATCTAATGATGGCGGCCAACTTTTCGGGCGGCTGGCTTGTACCTCAGTGCGAGCACCGATCGACTTGTATGGATCCACGTCGCGCGGCGTTGTTCCGAGCTTTCCGGGGCGGCTCTGTACTATGCGACATTGTTTCGTGCGACTTCAGACAGTGCGAGAAGGGGCAGTCGCCCACCCAAGTCTGAGGTGCCATGTTGATGCGACGCACCATCTCCGTCTCGAGGTTCCATGTCCGCACTGATGTGTTTGTTGACTATGGTCATGGGGGCGATGCTAGAATATGCCTTATCATAATCCTCCCACCACCACCCCCCCCACCCCCCCTCCCAAAAAATAGGGCATGCTTTGGGTTCCTCATGGAGGGGCTCGGGGCATGGCTTGGTTCCTTTTGCTGGTTGGGTCGGCCGTCGTACTGGGATTGGTGGTTCAGTCATTGGTTGAGCGGGAGCTTATATTTCAGGGCTAGATTAGTCAAGCAACATAACTCGAGGAGTGGCCGGCCAAACAGAGCTAGTCAAGATGTGATCTAATCATTGGATTGGCTGCGAGGCACGGCTCTGATGGTGACCGACCGAGGTACACGATGTTAGGAAAGGGGTCGACACTAAGAGGGGGGGTGAATTAGTGCAGCAATAAAAATTATGTTGGTTTGAAACTTTTGTACGATAAAATCTGATTTCGATGAAAACCATTTCGGAAAGATCTTTAAATTGAAAGCATATGGAAGTGTAGTTGATGTAAAGCAAGGAAGGCAGTTTGTAATTAAGATAAATAGCAAACAGAAATGAAAACCGATAGTGGTTCGGTTGTCGTGACCTACATCCACTCCTCCGATTCCTCTTCCATCGAGGCCATCGGTATCCACTATCGATCTTCCTTTAATAAGCGAAGATCAACCTCCTTGTTGAATCTCGGATTTTGATGATGAAACTAATTGATTGTGTTTAGATGTTTAACTGCATTTTGAGTGATGCAGGTCTACTCGATCAGGATTAGATAGTTAACGCAGGAGGAATTGACGTTGCGCCGGAGGAGATCACGTTAGGATATTAGATGGCAGAAGGCTTCGGACGTCGGGCATCAGGCCAAGAGCGGAATTGCGCCAAGGACATCGGGGTTACGGAGGTCAATCGCCGATTGGACAACAAGCCGCAAGAGAGGACGATGTGCTGAAGAATCGGATGAAGCGCCAACCAATGACGTGCCGGGCAACAGAATGTCAATTCACATTGTAATAATTGTCTAGATCAGAGTAGAGTTTTGGCTTGTGTGTGCAAGATTAACTACGATAACGATGAAGACATAAAGCGAAACAAAGTGTTGAAGTCAAGCGCGAAGGATTTGTTGCGAGTTCGAGAGTTCGACGGAAGCCCGAAGGTTCGTCGGGAATGCTGTCGGAACTAGCCGAGAATGAGTAGGGAGATTGCCGAAGGGTTTTTCGGAAGCTCGCCGAAAGGTTCGTTGGAAGTTCGCGGAGCTCGCCGAGAAAGATTGGAGCTTACCGAAGAAGCTCGTTGGAACTCGCCAAGATCAAATCGTGAAGTCTAGGAGCTTGCCGGGAGTCCGCAGAATGGTTTCCGAGAGTTCGTCGGAAGACCGCCGGAAGCTCACCGGAAAAAGTCTTGACTTGCGGACTTTGTAATAGCTTAGGAAATGTCTTTAAATTCATAGTTAGCATGTTAATTAGGGTTAGAATTAGGTGTTAATTCTATAACCCAAGTAGGGGCCAATTGGGCCCGAGTTCGGACTGGTTTAGGCCAAGTTTGGAGCCCAACCAATGAGCTGAAATAGTGTAGGCGGTGGCACCGCCTAGAACCTGAGAGCCAGGCGGTGGCACCGCCCAACACCCGAGAACCTGGTGGTGGCACCGTCAGTACACTGTCAGTGTCAGACACTAATAGGCGGTGGCACCACCAGCATTGGGAACCAAAGAGAATTCAAATTTTGGAGCCCAAATTTGAATCCTCTTGAGGCCTATAAATACCCCTCAATTCTCAGCTGAGAAAATAACCTTTGAGAAGCAAGAGATTGAGATAAAAGTCTTAGCAAAGCCTTTAGCAAGTTTTTGTTTTCAATAGCTTGAGTGTTCACCTCCCTCTTTCTCTTCGAAAATTTATAAGAGTGTGAACCACTTTTAAAAGGTTGTAAGAGGGGTATTTGTCCTTCCCCTTCAAAATGATTTGCTAGTGGAAGTTGGGAGCCTCTTCGAAGAAGGCTTCGCAAGTGGATGTAGGTTATTTTGACCGAACCACTTTAAATTGGTGTGTTCTCTGGTTTGCATTTACTTATTGCTATTTACCTTACTGCAAACCTTCATATGTGCTTTACTTCCTCATTACTTTTGCTGCACACCTTTACGAACACGCTTTCAAGATAAGCACTTCCGAGTTCGATTTTTTATCGTACGAAAGATTTGTCGAAACCAACGTTTTAATCCGCTGCACTAATTCACCCCCCCCCCCTCTTAGTCCTGCTCCGATCCTAACACTTCTTACACCCCTCTTCTTTATTTATTGGGTTTAGGAGACAACCCTTACAAGCACTCACTCCTCTCATAAACTATTATTACACTTAGACTAGAAGAGGAGGATTCTCACAAGAGATTATAACAGCGTTTTTCCCTCTTTAAATTCTCTGTGCTTGTGTCTTTTAATAAGGGATGAGAGGGGTATTTATAGGCTTCAAGTTGATTCAAACTTAGAGCTTAAAAACATCTTATCCTGGTTTCTTCGGTCCGGGCAGTACCACCGCTAATGTCAGTCTGACACTGACACTGAACTAGGTGGTACCATAGCCCAGTCTGACGGTACCACTGCTTGGCACTAGGCCACTGGGCAGTACCATCGCCTAACATAGTTTTGAAGACTATGCCACGACGGTGCCACTTCTTGGGTCACTATTTGGGCCTTTCATTGGGCCCAACATAGTCCTTACATGGGCCCAATTAGCCCCTAATTAGGTTGGCCCAAATTCAATTCCAATTATATGCTAACTACGAATTCTAAGACATTTCCTAAGCTAAACAAGTCTGTAAGTCTAGTTTCTTCCAGCGAGCTTCTGGTGATCTTCCGACGAA